CATATGGTGTCATCATATGACAAACCACACAATGTTGGTTTGTCTCATTATGGGTGATAACTTTGTTGGTTAAGGTAGGGTTTGCTAGGTTTCTCCAGTGCAAAGTTACTATGTTTCCTCTTTGAAATTTAATAAGTAATTTATAGCAATATACTTTGAGACTGTAAATATCCTGTTTCTTATCAAACTTTCACCTACTAGTTTTGATATTTACTGAGCATTTTTATCTGAGTCGGTTATTACTATGATGGTTGCAAAATGCTGGTTTCCAAACTCCATCCTTCCTTATACAAACTTATTCATTAGCATTCTAATGTAAGAGCTATCCCTTTCTCTGCTCTTTGTCTCTTTCTTCCTCCTTTCCTTCCACCTGTCCACCCACCCATCCAGTCGTCATTACTGTGGACTTACGGATCCTTACTTTATTCAGTGGGTTCTACTTAATTGCTGTCATTCTTTATTTTGTAGCCCATTGGCTAGATTCGGCCTGTGGATGCTCTTCAGGCTGGCTCCTGAGTCCTTCTGATATGTTCCCCATAATTTTTTGAGGGCTTCCTTACTTTCTGAATCAAGGTATTTAGGCTCATTTTGTACTTTCCCTATCACAGCTCTGAAGTCAGCCATTTTTCTAAGGCATTCTAGCTCCTTCTGTTGGAGAGTGGTATTTACAAGCCAAGATCCGGGCACAAATATGCCCGTTGTTACTGAGGTCTGTGGCTTCTTGGCCCTTGGAGATGTTCATACCGTTATCTGGGGTTCATACTGATCTCTCCACTCCACTTCCCAGTACCAGGTTCTTTCTTGACTTCCCCTGTTTTATATTTATGTTTTCTTTCTCCAACAGTGAGAAATCTGGCTCTTAGGCTTATCAGTGTATTTACTCATTTTCTCAGTCCTACAATACATGGAGCATAGTTTCAGAATTACCAACCAATGTCACTGTAGAAACAAACCTCTAAGTAGAGTTCAGAGATTGTTTGTGGTTCTTTTTGTCTTTATACTAAGGGTAGACATTCAAGACACTGTGAGCAGAAGTGGCTTGGGTTTATTCTTTCATTCTCCCTCCTAGTGTAACTATGCTATTTGTTTGAAATCTAGTTAGGCTCCTTTGTTTCTGTTTGTATGCCATTATAGTGTTCTCTTACCTTTACTGATTTTTTAAAACTGTATAAAATATGAACATACTTCCAAAAGTCAAAACATAAAAAGAGGTCTACCTAGAGAAGTGTGGCTTCCTCTCTAGTCCCTCCCACCTCATTCGCACCTGCTCCTCCTTGCAGGCAACTAATCTCATCTGTTCCTGGCTTCTCCCTCTAGTTTTTCTTTTTTTAATTATTGTTTTAAAAAATAAGTAGATCGATGTTCTTATTTCTAGTTTTTGTATAAAAGGTAGCATGTTACATATATTCTTTTGTACTTGGCTTTTAAAAATAATTTTGTCTTGTTTACCAACATGTCCTGGAAATCAGTCCTTACCAGCCTATGGACTTCCTCATCCATTTTTACTGCTGCATAGCTTGCTGTACGCGTGCACCATTATTTAGTTTAACGAGTCCTTAATGTGTGGACGTTTTAGTTTTTCCCAGTATTTGGTAATTACAAATGATCCTGCAGTGAATAACCTTGTACGTGTGCATTTTTGTATTGTTGGAATTGTGTTTTCCACAAAGATTTCTACAGGTGGAATTACTGGGTCAGAAGGTAAACATACATATACATTAGATTTTGCCAAATTCCTCTTCTGGTAGGTCGTGCCGTCTGTGTCCACAGCAGCGGTGCATCAGAGCACCTTTTCTCCACAGGTTTGCCAGAACAGCCTGCAGTGAAGCTTTTACATTTTTGCCAATTAGATATGTGAGAAACGGTATCTCTTACTATTAGTGAAGTTGAACATCTTTTAAATGTTGAAAGGCCGTTTTTATATTTTTCTTTTATGAATCATCTGCTCATGTCTTTTGCTCATTTTTTCTTGTTGACTTTTTCATTTTCTTGCCTTCTCAGTTTTTATGACCTCCACATCTATTAGGCATATTGGCCCTTTGTGATACACATTGCCGATATCTTATCTCAGATCATCATTTATGTTTGAGCTTTGTGTATGGTATTTTTGCTATATTTTTACATCTTTGAATTTATTAATTTTTTTTTATTGCTTCTGGATTTGCATCATAGAGAATCTTTCTCTGTGTCTAGGTTTTAGAAGAGTTCACTGTTTTGAACTTCTTTTATGGTTTTATGTTTTGCATGTGGACCCTAGGTCACTGGAGTTTATTTTCGTGTTTGGTGTGAGGTGTGGGTCTGATCTTCTCTTCTCCACGTGGTCACCTCAGTGTCCCAGTGCTGTTCATTAGCAGGTCCACCTTTGCCCCTGTCTTTGAGCTGCTGGAGGAGTTTATCATCTGTTTGTCCAGTTTAACATCCAGCCTGACTGGCAGCGCTGCTGACCTCCCATGTCCCCCGCAGCAGGGACTCTGGTATCCCCGTCGCAGGGGACAGCAGACACGAGCGACCCGGTCTGGGGCCAGCCTGCTGGCTGTGGCTGGGCCCTTGGCCACGGGGGGCGGCCCTGTCCGAGCCCCGCCGCTCTCTTCTCTATGGTGTGGCCTGCCTTCTGCCGCCTCATCTGTTTCTGCTTTATTCCCTCTTATTTCCGCTGTGTCTCTCTGTCTGTGGACTTGCAGGTCTGCGCCTTGCGTGTCGTCTTGCTCGTGATGGGGACTCCGCGGCTCTCTCGAGACCGAGTGACTGAGCCATTGTTGGCCGGACACCTGAGAGCCCTTGGGATTGTGTTTTTTCCCAGCTTTTTCTCTCCTTCTTCTTATGTATGCCCTTTCTTTCTCCTTCTCCCAGCCTGGGTGTCAGCCTGCCTGTGGCACGGGTATTTCCTTTCTGTGACCGCAGGCTGGGATCTTGGTGATGCCTCATTTCTCTGGTTCACATTCATGTTACCTGTGGGCTGTCCATGCTTAATGGATGTCAGGAAAGCCCACATCTGCCGCATACCAGTACTCTTAGAGCCTGTTCTCCTTTACTGAGCGAAACCGACACAGTCTGGCCCTCTAAGCTCCCTTGCGAGCCAGCTTTTGTCTTCCTGCGTGTGACGTGCTTCGACGGTCACTTGCGTGGCGTGTGCCCCCGGGGCCGGGCCGGTCATCGCGTGAGCCCTCGCTGCTGGGGGCGCCCTTTCTCTAGAGGCAGAGGGAGCGTTTGCTCCCTGGTGGGGCTGCTTAGGTGGGAGGAGGCGCCACGAGGGGGAAGGAAGGGCCTTCGCCACCCTGCCCGCCCTTCCTCCAATGAAGACAGGAAAGCTGCAGCAATAGAAATTGTTAGAGTTAACGAGATAAAGCATTTATCATTTATTAAGCATTACTTTATCCAGAAACAAATGTGTTGTACACGTGAAGACACAAAGCGTGGCGGTGCAGTGGCCTGGGACGTGAGCCCGGGTTCGAGTCCTGCTCTGGAGTCACTAGCTCTGTGATCTGGAGAACCGGGAAGAGCCCCTCCCTGTCCTGCTGGACTGGGCACACGAGGAGCTACTTTCCCGGGGAGCTGCTGGCGTTGTCGGTGGGAACGCGCGTGCAAGTCCTCAGCACGGGCTCCGGTCCCTTGGAAGTGCGACACGGCGTGGCTTTTGCTGTACTGGCGTGTAAGCCCTGTAGGCCTCGCTGCCCCACAGGGGTCCTGGGGGCTTGGGGGCAGAAGCCTCAGTTCTGTAAGCATCCAAGGATTGTGTGTGTGGAATATTTTTTGAGTCGATTTGGCCTTGTTGATTTGAATCTGTTCTTTAAAAAGTGATTTTTTCTAGCACGCCCTTTTATTATTTATAGTTCTACCTTCTCTTGCTGTGGTTTTCACAAAGTCTGCAGGAAACAAAACCCTCAGCCGCCTGCCTCTTCATAGTCTCTGTTGTGGGTCTGTGTCGCCCACTGGAAGACGATTCGCATAGGACATTTCCTTTGTTCCCCTTCCCTCGGAGTTTCCTGGTCTGTGTGCCTGTCTGTCACCTGCCCATTTACCCATCTATCTACCCACTCATTCTTCTGTCTTGTTCCAAAAAGCATTTGAGTCAGCTTATGGGGTAACTGACTACCGAATGAGCAGGTGAGGAAAACTGGCCCCAATTAGACAGCCAGGGAAGGAGATGGGCTTGCGGGAGCGTTGCAGGCGGTGGGAGATGCCTGCCTTCCTTCTGTGAGTCACAGAGGCTGACAGCCACCATGTGTCTGGGCCTCCCCGCTAACCTGAGGAAACGGGCTTTATGGGGGACGCTTGCTGTCAGGGAGATAAACAAGGGGCTCAGGAGACGCCCTCCCTCTGCCGCTGAGGCTTGGGAGAACTTTTTTGAGTATTCTATGACAGAAAAATATTTCATCTTTCTTTCAGTCGGAGTTCTGTGTAGCTGGTTACATTCTATAATTGGAAATTTCTCTGGAACTCTTTCCTTTGTGAGTTTGATGTCTAGGGAAATTAGGTGGTTTTGCTTATTGACGGGTTGGCCAGACGTAGAAAATGACAGCCGCAGAAAGGAGACTAGTATTTATAAATTATATATTTTTTAGTGCTGTACAGCTCTGAAAATGCTTTCATACTGTTTTTCTCCATTTGAGGGTCTGGTGTGGTCTCCTGCACGCTGGGGGCTGAAAGCTGTGAGCTGATGTGTGCGAACTGCATTGTCTTCAGAACAGAGCTAGTTATTGTGGACATGTTACTTTCATATAATGCATTTCATGTCCTTTAATAAAAGTTTCAGCAGGGAGGAAAACTTATTCTGAGTTAATTAATATTTAATACAATGCTTTGATGGTAGGACTATTATAGGGAGTCTCTAAGCTATGAAGGCTTTAAAAACGGGTTCGTTATTTAAACTGCAGTAGAGAATATTTAAGTTTTATCTTATTTGTGCCCTTCTTTTAAACTGACAAAGAAACAAGACAGAAAAAGCAAAAGATTATTTCATCTTTTTCCAGATCCTTTCTTCTCTCCCTCTCGGCTTGCAGGTGCTCTCACCACCAACGGCATAAATCCCGACACCAGTGCCGAAATCGGACGTGCTAAGAACTGTCTTAGTCCCGAGGACATAATCGAGAAGTACAAGGAGGCCATTTCCTATTACAGCAAGGTGATTCGACTGCCTTGTGAATCCTTCACGTAGTTGCACTGTTTCCATCAGAAGTTCCTACATTGCACCCCAGAGTGCTGCTCTGCCTACTGAGTATCTGTTTCTACAGGTGTTCGTGTGTCCTTCCCTAAGGCCTGATACTGTGTACCAAAAAATGTTTTTGTTTCCTTAATCAAAAGAATATATATTTAATTATATTAATGTCATCATAACAACAGTGATGTTTGGAAAAAGGGGGAAAAGGCTGTCATTGTCCCAATACTCAGAGATAATCAATGTTAACATTTTAATATCTATATTCTGGTTTGTTTCCCGAAGTATGTTATCTTTTTTGTACAAAACGGTGGGCAGTCTGTACTTACTTACTGTGTGTAGATCTACAGTTTTCATTTGGCATGTGTTTTTCAATGTTATAAAATCTTCCACGGCATGATTTTTAGTGACCTGTATCACAGGACATCTTGTGGATGCACCGTTCTTTTCACTTTGGACTTAAAAATAATTCAAATTCCGAATAAACCTACAAAATACTGAAAAAAAGGACTCAAGTTGTACGGAGGAGTGGGAGTGAGTAGAAAACGAGAGCCCCCCACCTCTTCTACACTTACACTTGTTGAGTGTAACAAGTATTAACAATCTGGTTGTTCGCAATATATTTTTCATGGTTTTTGTGCCTATGACACATGTATATACATGTGTATGTGTGTTCTCCTTACAAAAATGAGACCACACTGTGTGTTATTCTGCAGCTTGCTTTGTTCACCCAGAGATCTACTGTAGATGGCTGCCTGCTTCAGACCTGCTTGATACTTGCAAGTAATATAGAAAAGTCTTCCGAAATATGCATGTAACCATTTATTCTTTCACACCGTTAGTGAGGGACTAGCATGAACTAGGCATGGGGTGCCTACCGCGCCCAGAATGTGATGAGATTGCTGCTCCTCTGGAGCTCACAGCCTGCCATCATTTGCTTAGTCACTATCTTGTTGTTGGATTCTTAGGTTTTCTCACTCTCTCTGGTTATGACATTTACATTTACCATAGGTTACTTTCAAGTTACTCCCCAAATTTCTTCTCTAATAGGGAATGAAAAGATATACAATTATTTATTTAAACAATTCTCTATTACTGAATAGCATTTCATTTCAATTTTTCTTCCCAGTATTATAAACAGTGATGTGATAAGGGCCCTGATAGATAAATCTTTCTGGACTGATTTTTTTTTTTACGGGAGCAATTCCTAGGAGTGGCCTTGAGTCGGAGTGCACATGATTTCTTTAGAGTTCACATGTGTGGTACCATATTGTCCTCCAGAAAAGTCAACAGTTTGCACTCCCACAAACAAAGGCCAGCTATTGTATCCTTTTAAAATATTTGCCAGTATGATGGGAAAAGTCATTTTTCATTGTTTTAGTTTGTATTTGATTACCAGTGAGATATTGAACATTTCACTTGTTAGCCAATTGCATTTCTTTTATGAAGTACTCGTTTGTGTCCTTTGCACACATTTAAGTTGGGGCGCTCATCTTGTTGCTTTCTGGTAGCTCTTTATGTGTTGTGGGTATTCGCCTCTCGCCTCTCGTCGATGTATGTTGCAAATATGTTTCTTCATGCTGCTTGCCTTTGATTTTTCCTTTTCCTCTCTCAGTTTTTTCTCTTTCATTGTGGTCAAAAAAGTGTTTCTAATATAGTATATATTTTCCTTGTGGGTTTAACTTTTGGTATTATGCTTAGAAATACCCTCTTAATAATAGAATAAAACTCTTTTTCCCAGTTTTTTTTTTTTTAATCTCCAAAATGGGGACAATACCAGTGCCTGTGTCCTTGGGTGTAGTGAGGATAAGCTGAGTTAAATATATGCAAAGTATTTTATTTGCTGTTGTTAACATTTAAAAAAACATTTATACCATTATCTATAATGTGCTTTGTGTACATGATGACATAGGAATACAAATTATGCTTTCTAGGGGATTGTCATTTTCTCACCACAATATACTGAATTCAGACTTTTTCTGTCCGACTTGAAATCCCTCCCGCACTGGCGCGCCTACTGGAGTCTAATTCTGACCCTTTTTCTCCTTCCTGCTGATCCGCCTTTTCACTCCAGCACCATAATATTTTACCTTTCATGGTTTCTTTCATATATAATAGTGTGTCTTCCTTTTTAAAAGTTCTTTCTTCCTATCCCAAATTTTCTTGGCGAGTATTGTGGCTTTATTATTTCTGAGGAATTCTGAACTATTTCAGAAATTCAAGTTAAAAAAATCAGATTGGCGTTTTCATGGGGCTTGTGATACGACTGAATTATTTTTAGGAGAACATGTCTCTACAAAATTGCTTTCCTCTATAGAAAAACTTAACGTCTCTATACTTACACATTTTAAGTCTCAATAGTGTGGTCATTTTCTTCATAGAGAGCATGAGCATTGTTTTTAATTTTTTCCTAGTTATTATATTTTCTTGGTAATTTTATGAATGAGATTTTTTTTGCCATTTTAGTTTTTAATTGCTTTAAGCTGATGTGTAGAAAGTCAGATTTTATTTATTTATTTATTTATTGAGGTATCATTGTTATACGCTCTTATGAAGGTTTCACATGAAAAACAATGTGGTTACTACATTCACCCATATTATCAAGCCCCCCCCACAGCCCATTGCAGTCACTGTCCATCAGCGTAGGGAGATGCCACAGAGTCACTACTTACCTTCTCTGTGCTGCACTGTCTTCCCTGTGGCCCCGCCTATACCATGTCAGATTGATTTTTAATACTCATTTTGTAACTGGCCGCTAAAAAATTATCAAATGCTTTTTCCAGAGCCCGTTTTTTAAAATCTGTCTCCAAGATTATCAAAACGATCATAGCTACGTTCTATAGATAGAGAGACGGATGGAGAGGTGGTGTGGCTGGTGTGAGCACTTGCAGCAGCTTAGTGGCTGCCTTGGCGCGGAGAAGGGGCAAAGGGGCAGGCCGGGCCCGGGGAGGCCCTGAACGCGCACAGAGACCGTGCGCGCCTGCCCTGCTGGCAGAGCAGGTGGAACCACTTCGCTGGCCATGTCTGATGGAAGGCCGGTCGCTGCCGCAAACAGGGGGTCACTGAGAATGGGAGACTTCATCCCGGCGGAGGCGCTGCTCTGCCGTGGGCCAGCAGGGGAGCCAGGCGGCCCGAGGGTGAGGAGCGGCAAGGGCGGACTCCGGGGCCAGGCGGAGCTGAGTTTGAATCTCTCCACTGCTGTTTCCTGGCCCCTGAGTTTAGCCAAGTTATGACCTCTTTGAGCTCCAGTTTTCTTGTTTCTCAAAATGAGGAAATTAAGGCCTGTTATGCAGAGTTTTTAAATCAGGGTAAATGACATATATATATATAAATAAAATATATATGTATATATACTTATGAATATTATGCCAAGTAAAGCAACAGATCATCAATCAGTAAAATAGTGGTTATCGTCCCTTTTTCCTTAATTCAGTATTTCACAAGACCTCGGGGGTGTGGGGGGTCCCCAGCGGCTAAGGAGTGAATGATGCGAGGAGGTCGTGAGCCGAGCGCCCTGCCCCGTCTAGCTGCGCTTCATTGCTTGGCTTCATTCACGTCTCCTCTCCTTGTCTTTGCTCTCCCACCTCCTCCAGGAGAAGAGCCTGAGACCTTCCCGTGCTGCCCAGGGCCCGAGTCAGGGGGCTTTTCAGGTTGGCCCATCACTGACATGCCAGTGATATACAAGAACTGTGCCCTCCCTTCCCAGATCTGACTGTGCTTGATTCTCATGCACGTGCACGTCAGGCTGCGTCCCACTCGCTGCGGGAGAAGCACACCTCCGTTGGGTTCTCATTCACTGAGAGTGACCGTGGAGTCCCTTAAGCAGACTCCTGCTGGCTTTATGAATGCTTTTTGATTGGATTTCTGGTCTGTGGCCAAGGGGATCACCTTCTGTGAGAAGAGATGACATGAGGACACAGACGTTCTGCCGAGATTTCAGTGTCACCATGTTTTGAGCTGGAAGGAACTTTACATAGCATAGAGCCTTATAGCTTTTTATATGTGAGGAATTGAACTCCAGAGAGGTTAAGTGACCCATCAAAGTCACACAGAGGTAACATTTGGACTAGAACCTAGGTCTTCTGTCTTCTTGAATACAGATAAAAAGATAGCTGGGTTGGGAGAGCAGAGGCCCCGCCTTGTTTGAGCCCCAGTGGCTTGGCTGATTTCTAAGAGCTCACCTGACTACCTTCTGTCCACATAGCCTCTCCAGTGTCTGTAATGGAAGGATATTTCTGCCGTGGGGCATCAGCAGTGTTTGAGAGAGGCCGAGGGCAGCTGTCCTGGCTTAGAGCTACTTTGGGCAGACCCGTCAGAAGTGGAAGCAAGATTTGAGAATTCTCACCTGGTATTAGTATTGACTAGTGTGATGAAGTTCACAGTACTTTTTCTGTTTCACGTTCTTCATTTGTCCTTCATCTGGGATCTGAGCAGCAGGAAGGAGTAACTCAGAGAGGAAATCAGAAAGGCACCCACCATTTAAGTACAGGACAGATACAGTGATACAGGGAGCTAGAATTTTTGCAACAAAGTAAAATGAACTTACAGCTACTGTGTTAAAGCTGCAGGTTGAGCTATTCTAAAAATGTTTTAGAGTTCAAGAGAGAAGTGAGAATGAATAGCAAAGTATCCATTGATAATATTTTGAGATTTTGTAGCCAGCTCTTGTTGAATTATTTGAATGAATGTAACTTATGTGCATGGGCATTTGTGGGTTCACTCAGTTCCTCCAACCTCGTTTGCCCCCATAAGGAACAGACCTTCTCGTACACCAGTTTCATGAGTTCTTGTGCTCGGGGAAGGTGCTGCCACAGGGAGGCTGAGCCCCCAGGGTACAGCCATCAGGAGAGGACAGAAACGTCTTTCCCCTTGTTTTGACTGAGGGTCCTCTTTTTTCCCCTACAGTATAAGAATGCTGGAGTGATTGAGTTAGAAGCCTGTGTCAAAGCCGTGCGGGTGCTCGCCATTCAGAAGCGGAGCATGGAAGCTTCGGAGTTTCTCCAGAACGCACTTTACATTAACCTTCGGCAGGTGGGTGTGTGCTCCTGCCGGGGAGGAGGAGACGCAGTGCCCGGGACGGATTCACTGCCGATGCCCCTGGGTCTGCGAGGCTGGGATTCTTGCGGCACGGAAGCACTGCTGCGGCAGGACTTGGCATCCTATTAAGGCGGCTAGTTGTTTTACTTCCTTCTTACCGTAGTTAACTTTCAGAATTCAGAATTTGCTAGCTTTTGAGTTTTTTTCTCAAACTGGAGAAACAGCTCTGCCTCTTACTAGCTTTTCAACCTTGAACAAACTTGATCTCTTTCCTCACTTTTCTCACTTGTGATACAATTTCCATTTGTGACCCTGGGTGGGTTGTTCGTTTTATAAAATGTGAGCCTGTCACAGTACTTTGTATAGTTCAGTTTACACAGTAGGAACTCCACAAATATTAATTAAATCTGAAACTGGATATGTTTTTAATAAAACAAACACATCTGGCTATTCAGCTGCATGTTGCCTATGCAAAATCACAAACTTAATAGTCTAGAAAGATTTTAGGCATTGTGGGGAGAATTGGAATTACCATGGCCGGGATCTTCACTGATACTTGTCCACTGTGCATGTGCAATCCTAGCAGGCGTATGCTTGCACACATGTGGGCAATGAGTTATTATTGACTTTATATAAAGAGCTCCTCGCAGGGCTCTTGGTTGCACAGCTGCAGGAGAGCAGAGAGGCTGGAGGGGTGGCAGCGTGGAGGACAGAGACCGAGATGGCTGTGGGGGCGGGGAGGCCCAGAGGCAGAGAGCAGCTTGCTGCAGGCAGACTTGCCCCGAGGCAGATGGGATTCCAGTGTTTGACCTGCCACCTTGAGAGTGAAGCTGGAACCCTTTTACCCCATGTTCTGTTGTTGTGACTCAGTCTCAGTGAACCCAGAGTGAGCTTGCCTGGGACTGAAGCTCTTGCAATACAGCGTTTAGCTAACCTAACTTGGATTTTTATGGATAAGGCAACTGAGACTCAAAAGCAGTTTGCTTAAGGACCCAAGACCTATTGGACTACAGGTGCCTGTAATTCACCAGACCTTCACCGCGCACAGCCCGTGCTAGGAGCTGGGAAGGGGGTGAAGAAGGCAGCTACTGTCCTCCTTGGGCCCATAGTTTCATGGCAAAGAGACCTTCTGAAGTGGGGTGAGTAAGGAAAAAGGGGAGGTCCAGTGTGACAAAGAAACAGGTGGCCAAAGGAGGTGACCTGCATGGGTGGTGGGTAGAGGGTGTGGGGTCGGGGCCTGTGTAGGGCCGTGCGGTTCAGGCTGAGGTGTGAAGGATGAGCAGGAGGTGGTAGCGGGCACTCTAGGAAGGGGGGTCAGCGAGGCTGAGTCTGAGCCCAGAGAGCCTGTCCCCCGGGGCTGCAGAGAGCCCGAGGGGGGCGGTGGGGCCGGGAGCGAGCCCCAGCTGGAGGCCGTCCTCAGCCAGGTGAAGAGCTTGGGGTTCGTTCTAAGAACAGTGGGTGTTAAAGAAGAGGCCTGAAAAGCCCAGGAGGGATGTGACCCCGTTTGTCTTGAGTGGGTGAGGGTGATGGGCCAGTTTGGACCTTGAGGGGTCCAGGTGAGCAAGGCCGACTGCTTCCACCTGAGTGCTGGCACTGCCGGGACAAAAGTGGACAGACTGGAAACGTGTTCAGGTGGTAGAAGGAAGGGATTATGTCTGTGTGAGGTGGAGCAGTGCCCAGATTTCAGGTGGTGTTCCGGGAAGGGGGAGCTGCAGAGGGCGCTCTGGGGGGACGATTCAGTCAGGGATATAACGAAGACGTAGACATGGGTGTGCCGGGCTCAGGTGGGAGCGGGTCCAGGGGGAGGGGTGGGAAGAGAGGCCTTAAAACCCCTGTGCGTCCCCAACACCCGAAAGGTGTGAATCATCAGCCACTCATGCCTCTACCACCCAGATTTAGCCCATTAACATTTTGCCATATTGACTGCAGAGATTCTTAATTTTTTTAAATAGAAATAAAATAGAAGCAACAGTTAACATCTTAGAGTTGATGTATATCCTCGTACACATGTTTGATAACTCATGTTTATAAGCATAATCTATAAAAAGACAGATGTTTTAGCTCAGTGGTTACAGAGGAGTATACCCTGCCGGGGCCTGAATCTGGTGTCACCCACTCGGGCGAGGTTTTCAGCCTCCCTGCCTCCACTCCCTCTTCTGGAAAGCGTCTCGCTGCCCCTTGGGGCCCTCGCTGCAACTGAGGTCCTAGATCCAACATCGGGAGGAGGCTCTGAGGGTGGCACAGAAGTGGCCACTGTCGGCTGAGCACCGAGCGAGGGACAGAAACAGGACAAAGCCAGCAAACTGTGGACCAACCAAAAAGCCAGGAGATGGAAGAACCGCAGACTGCTTCGGGCCCCGTGGTGTAAGGGCCTGGGTGCCAGCATGGCAGTCATTTGGTGACCCGAGTGATGTCCTTCCTGCAGGACAGTGAGGGGGAAAGATGCGTATGAGGAGGCTGGGTGGGACCCTGGTATGTCCTGAGTAACAGCGGAGATGTCTGGCCTCCGCAGGTTGGCAGGCAGTGTGGTCCCCGAGGGAATGTGGCCCCGGAGGCACCTTGAGGCCAAGCAGCAAAGTCCAGTGGGCTTGAGGTCAACCTCACCTCTGCTGCATGAGCTACGTAACCTTGAGCAAAATCACTCTGTCTCTCTCTAACTTCTCATCTTCTCATCTGTGAGGTGATGGAGTAACAAGCCTGCAGGCTGATTAGAAGGATTACTTTAGGTGAGACATCTGTGTCCAGCACTGTCTTGGTGTCTGCCCTATGACGAGGTTACACAGCAGCTGTTGTTAAAATCAGATTGGGGCTTAGAGGGATGTCTTAGGGAAGGAGTGAAGGACGGGTCATGCTTTTCAAACGGATGCTTAGACGGCCTGATGCTGGGAACCTGCGGGCAGTTCGGTGGGGTGGGCTGGGAGAGCCTCAGAGGACCCAGCGCCTCAGGGCTTGCTTGCCCTTACAGCCTGGAGTTGCCTTTGCAAATTATTATTGAAAATTTAGACTTGCTCTGAATCTATTTCCACAGGTGGGTATATAAATACACTTATTTCATAAAGCAAAATGTGTTTACTTAAAATGTGCTGGAATTTGCTGCTGTTTGGACCAGCTTTTCTCTGTTTGCTCCGTCCTCACGGGCAGCCCTGGGGGCCCGCAGAGGTGCACCGGGAGGGGTGAGCGCTGGTCCCTGGGGCGCGCGAGCGCACGCGGATGCCCTTGCCTGCGGGTTTCCCCCAGCACCACACTTGGCTTTCAGTTGCTCATCTCCATGTTTTGTTTGCTGGAGGACAGACAGCAAAATAATGAGTTCTGGTGGGATTTTATAATAACAATCAAAGAGGATCTGTAGTTTTTCTGAAATAGACCAAGCTTTTAGTTCTTGATCAAGTGTGCTGCACTGTGGCACCGATGAGTTGTATTCATTCCTGGAATGATTCTGGCTAATGTGGACATTTTGGAAGGATGAGGTGTGGTCACTGCAGATGCCTTCTTTAAGAAGCCCCCTGCAGACATACAGCCGGTCAGTTGTGTGTTCAGGGTCAGAGGTCCTTGGAAGGGTGTCTGCATTGTGGGAGGGTTCAGGCAGAATCCCTCTTTTTTGTGTGCAGGAACCCGGATCGGCCTGTCTTCAGTTGCTCACCAGAGTAGGTTATGATCATTTTCTAGCATAAACAAATGGTAGCACACATTCCATTCTGTCGCTGGCTGTGTGTAAATCTGTGTATTGGACACGTAGATTTCACAGGCAAACAGCTGCAGGTGAGGGAAGGGCACAAACTCTGGTCCCCCAGATGCGGTTTATATCACCATTTCCTTCTCATGTGACTTCGGACTAGTGTGTCACCTCCCTTAGCCTGTTTGTGAGTCTGTATAATGGGGGTAATAATATGTACTTCTTTCTGGATTCGTTGTTGTTAAGTGTAAATAATACAGTGCAAGTAAAGTGGTAAATGCACTGTGTGGAACCTAGGAAGTGCTCAGTATGTGTGTCTACCCTCTGGTCACGTATGGATGCGGCAAAGGTAGCCCGTGTTTGTTGTGGACCCGCCAGCAGATCCTGTGCTAGGCTGTGGGTTTGGTTAGTTCCTTTAGTGCTTGTAACTGTGTGCTAAGTGCAGTCACGCCTGCTTACAGAGAAGAAACCTCAGGCTGAAAAAGGGTTATGCAGTTTGCCCAAAGCCAGACCCTCGTGCAGAGGTGAAGTGGCCTCTGGGAAGCACGTTTGTGCACATTTTCCTTCACTATACCAGAGGCTGCACACTAGGCACTGTGTTGATTGCTTCCCAGCCCTGGAACATTCCATGGGTGACAAAACAGACATGGTTGCGTGCTGCTTGAGCTTCAAGTCTGGAGGGGAAGCGAGTGATAAATAGAGATACATAAAAATAAATGATTACAAACCATGATCAGGTCCGTAAAGGAAACATGCCTTGCCAGGCGGGACTGGAGGGTTTTCTGGTTGCGGCTGCTCTAGGGGCGTTAATCCCCATAAAGTGAGTTCTGTTACCACACAAAGACAAAAGGCAAAGCTGCTTTGTTATCAGGGAAACTGAAACTCATTGATCACACTACTAAGTCAGCAGCCAGCTGGTTACCCGCACTTAGCCAGGTGTAAACATGTCGGCCATTATCAGGGCAACTTTGCTAAGTAGCTTGTTGTACGCAGTCTTAGAGACGAGAAAACCGAGGCGCTGGGAGTTGGCTGCCTGCCCAGGATGACCTTGTAAGTACCAGCACTGGTGTGTAGATTGCTTTGCTGTTACTGTAAAGTTCAAACTCTGTGAACTGCATCAGATAGCTTCCCTGAGGTCATCCAAATGACTGAAATTAATTTCTTTATTAACAGAAAATTGCAAGTGACAAAAAGAGAAAGTGGTAATAAGGAACTGTTTGAAAAACGCCAACAGTTCACCAGCTGTGAGAACTCACCAGCTGTGAGAACGTACGCTGGGACCCGTGCGTATTCGACCCCAGCCCGATGCCTCCACAGGCCTGAGGTCTTGGAGTCGTCCTGAGCCAGGGAGACCATGCGGGCCAGGATACTGTTGACTGGAACCTGCGACTTCTTTGTCTCTGGTTAATTTTCTT